TCGTCTGAGGGAGGACATGTCAGCCAGACTTCAGACAATTGCTGAAACGAAGAACACCACGTTCGACGAGTTTCAGGCATGGCTGGATATTGAAAGGGAAAGGCGCACCGCAGTCTTGAAGCGGTTCTCCGCCCACGTCACGAAGACAACAAACGGGGAGTCAGACGGAGGGGATGTCATGTGTCTTGCCAGCTGCGGAAAGTGTGTGCTGAAGGAGGGGTGGGCACCGTACAATAGCCAAAATTACAACACAGGTTCGCTACCTACGACGGCACGCAGCGTCGTTGACCTCTTAGCCTTCGCCGAGGCCTGCATTCGCCACTGTACGGAAACCGTCGAGGAGTACGGTCCGAGTTAAGTGGGTATCGGGTCTGTTAATGACGAGCTTCCTGCAAAAATCGCGTCTCTGCTGAGCAGTTGCGAAGACGTAATGGATGCCCTGTAACACACTCGAGGCAGGTTATTGGCTGGAGAACAGACGGTGACATGTATGGAAGGAGATGTTATGGGATGAGGAGAAGGTGAAACGAAGAAGGGAAGAGAAGAAGCTGACAGACCAATCGGAGTGTGTTCGGGAAACGAGGCCACTCTTGGGAAGAATGCGCCTGCGCCACACGTCCTGTTTGCGTGCACTGATGTTGCCGCACTGAAATCTCGCTACGTGCGTCACAACTTCCCCTGCGTGCTTGCCAGCAAAGCACCTTCGGCCGGACCAGAATCTTCTGTACTGCCTATGACGACGAAAATTTTTGAAAATTTCGTTGCTGACGCAAACTCTCGACAAATGGCCAGGCTAGTCGCGGACTGTTTTTCCCATATAATTTCATATATCGAAGAGATAATGGGACCGGTGTTACTGAACGCGGACCATCATGGAGCGAAAAAAAAAAATGTGAATATTGCAGGAAAGGACTTGACATCCATGAACGCTTGAAAACTCTGTACAGAAAGATGTCAAATTGTGGCAGCGCGGGTCGTCAGGGAAGCGTGATCTCTCTCTCTCTCTCTCTCTCTCTCTCCCCCTCTCTCTTTCTATCTGTGTGTACCTATGTCTGGGTTTCACATACTTGAGGTTGGTTAGTGGGCCGCAACACTGAATGGCCATCTGTCGGCGCATGTCTACCTGTCCGACAGCACGAAGTTGTCCCCCTTGCAGGCCAATTCTGGTCTCGCATGTCACGTTCGGCGTCGTGTTGCATCGCTGACTGGTGAACGTGTCGATTGTGCGAGTGTTGTTTTCCAAGCTGCAAGAGGTTGACTACTGCGTGCCATGACTGTGTGTACCATTGGTGGTTGTTGTCCCATTGGCCCGCAGTAGCCAACCTGTCTGTCTGTCCAGTGTATGTATACCTGTCTGCGCGAGGCTGACTACTGCGGGCCATGTAAGTGTACACCGCTGCTGGTTGTTGTCGTTCTGGTCCGCAGTAGTTAACCTATCGCTGGTGCCACATGTTTTTCTGTTTTTCCAGCTGGGTGAGGTTGACTGTTGCGTGCCATGTAAGTGTGTACCGATGCACGTTGTTGTCCCCATGACCCGCATTTGCCAACCACCCTCTAACGCAGTTTATCTCTTCCTTTATGGGCGAGGTTGACTACTGCGGGCCATGTAAGTGTACACCGCTGCTGGTTGTTCTCGTTCTGGCCCGCTGTAGTCAACCCGTCGCTGGTGCCACATATTTT